CCTTAGAGGAAGGATGGTTATCAGGTAGAACACTGACATATCCTGAGTTTCCTACATGTGAGTGCAAATTCACATTAGATAGCCACAACTGATTCTAAAAATTTTAGCCTGGAATACTAAAATGATTGTGTCATACAGACTTGGGGGAGTTAAGAAGGAATATCAGTGTTAAGGACAGCAATTTTAGGTGAAGACCATGAGGAAATGACTCATATTAACCATTACAACATGAAGCAAAGATCACCCACCGTGAGGAACTTAGATGAATAAATTAACAACTTGAGACACTTGTTCTTCCCAGAGAAATTAAATCCTGCTGAGTATCTATGTCCCATCACAGCAAGAAAACCAAGAATGAAAGACTACACAGCTATCAGAATTTCACGTAGCTTGTGTCTCCCAAGGTACACTGGATAAGAAGCAAATATGGAGACACAGTAAGTCCTACAATGTGGTATCCTTTCCACTCTATTCCTACACATTTTACAGGCACTCCCCCTGTGTCTTTCAGTTTCTTCCCAGTTCTGCAAGTTCCTAGAGGGTTTTGTGCTCCAAAATCTATTGCTAATTATGTCACAGGACCTCTATCATTTTCTTCAGTTGCTAATGAGTTAGGCAGGCATTCAGGTTAAAATCAATTAGGTTTGTGGAAGACCACACCTTCACCACGCCCCTGTGTGACCTCATGCTCCTACCTGGCCACACCTGGGTGCCCACCAGCCAATCAAGTTAATTAACCACTCCCTTTTGGAAGTGGGTTAAAAGCCTGGGACATGGGACACGTACCACGGTGTGTCTACTCTCTTATTTTTCCTGGTTTCTTGCAAAGAGGGGGCTGGCTGTAGCCAAACACCCTAGGCTTTCTGGCCTAGATGTTCCTCCACGTGGCTAGTTACTGGCACTCAGTATGAATCAGATTTACCCCTCTTCTCTTAGATAAAGCTCTCACTCTCCTATGCATCTTTCTCACTAAATAAAAGCCTAAAATGTACCATGCTGCCTCGCTTATTGATGCGGGTATTTAGAATTCTTCTTTAAATATTAGGCAAGAACCCTCTAGGGCTTATTAATATTGGGGAATTATTAATAAGTGTATGGTGACATTGTATGGCATCCCAAATTCCGGTAACATATGTGGCACCCCAAATGGGACTTCTGGGGAACTTTAAGGGGCCATATTTTTATATAGATTTTAGGGGGTCATTTCTGAGATCACTACCAGCTTTTTTTTTTTTTTTTTTGACAGGCAGAGTTAGACAGTGAGAGAGAGAGAGAGACAGACAGACAGACAGACAGAGAGAAAGGTCTTCCTTTTCTGTTGGTTCACCCCCTAAGTGGCCGCTGCAGCTGGCATACTGTGCTGATCCGAAGCCAGGAGCCAGGTGCTTCCTCCTGGTCTCCATTGCAGGTGCGGGGCCCAAGGAATTGGGCCATCCTCCACTGCACCCCCCGGGCCACAGCAGAGAGCTGGACTGGAAGAGGAGCAACCGGAACAGAATCCCGTGCCCCGACTAGGACTAGAACCCAGGGTGCTGGCGCCGCAGGTGGAGAATTAGCCTAGTGAGCTACGGTGCTGGCACTACCAGTTTTTAAAACTACTATGTTTTCTGACATAGATCATTGAAATGTTTGCTAGCCTCTGTGGAAGGAGCTGTTTTTGTTAATTTGTTTTGAATGTATTGATAACCCCACTAATGTTGTCAATAATTGTGCCAAGACTGCTAACAAAGGACGTCTGAAAAACACAAGCCAATGCGATTGCTTGACTCTTGTTGCTGCTGAGGCACCTGAATGGCTGTTGCCTTATCCTCACAGTGACCTTACAATTACAACACTGCTCCCACCTTCCTTCTTTCTCTTCCTCTGCCTCTTTTTCCTTTCCTTTCCTTTCCTCAAATCTCCCTTCCTTCTTCCTTTCTTTCATTTCCCCTTCTTTTTGTGCGCTTCTTTTTTCTTGGATTTATTTATTAGAAAACAAGACTGGAAAACAATTTCAGTGTTTTCAACTTAAAATTCTCTTCTCATCAAATATGTTGTCCTTAGGCCGCATGTTTAGCACTGCCTCTTCAAAGTTTCAGACACTAAATTTCACAGTGAAAGTAGGTTATTCAAGCAGAAATAATGGAACATAGACCAGAGGGATCAGAACTGGTGATATGGATTTTGAGTCAAATGCTGAGCTGTGAAAGCATATTTTCTGGGGCCAGCGCTGTGGCACAGTGAGTTAAAGCCCTGGCCTGAAGCGCCGGCATCCCATATGAGCGCTGGTTCTAGTCTTGGCTGCTCCTCTTCTGATCCAGCTCTCTGCTAATGTGCCTGGGAAAGCAGTAGAAGATGGCCCAAGTGCTTGGGCCCCTGCACCCACGTGGGAGACCTGGAAGAAGCTCCTGGCTCTTGGCTTCAGATTGGCACAGCTCCAGCCATTGCGGCCATCTGATGAGTGGATGGGAGCGGATGGGAGACCGCTCTCTCTGTCTCTACCTCTCTCTGTAACTCTTTCACATAAATAAAATAAATCTTTTTGAAAAAAAAGAAAGCATATGTTCTCAAACAAGTGGATCAGAAACTGGAGAGAAGGAAGTTTCAAGAAGTGAAGGTTGAGGGAATAGCTTTGTGGAACAATGGGTTCAACGCCCACTTGTGACACCTGCATCCTTTATGACAGTTCTGGTTTGAATCTCAGCTGGGCCACTTCAGATCCAGCTTCTAATAATGCACCTGGGAGAGCAATAGTTGATGGTTCAAGTACATGGCTCCCTGCTCCACCCATATAGAAGATGAAGGTGGAGTTTCTAGGTCCCAGATTTAGCCTGGCTGTTGCAGGCATTTGGGAAATGAACCACTAGATGAAAGCCCCATCTCTTACTCTCTCTCCTCTCTCCTCTTTCTCTTTCTCTCTCTCCCTTTCTCTACACACACACACACACACACACACATCCCATCACTCTGCTGTTCAAATAAGCATATTTTTAAATACAAAATAGTGAAGGGTGAAGAAGATGCTAGCAGCAACCGCTGTCATGAGAACACAGCTGAGTTGCTGGACATCTGGAAAATGGTCAGAGACAAAGAACACTAGTACACTTAGCAATATCCAGGAGGCACATCCCAGAAATTAAGGCAAAAAGTTAATATTCTGAAGGAGGAAATCCATTGCAAATCTTTTCTTCTAATCATGTAATTTTATTCTCAGAGGCTGGTAATATCTAAATCTCTTGTTAAAGTGGAGCCTGTTAATGGGGATAGAAGTAGAATGCAAGATACATAAAATGAACAGAATGGTTCTAAAACAATGTAGAGGAAGCAAGTTGATATTGACAAAGACCTTGGGAACATGGTGGTTTTAAGAGAACATGTCCATCTAATTTTACTATATAAACAATCATTTTAGAAATGACTGAAGAAATAATAATTTCAGTGTTGTGGGGAGCAACTCGGACTAGACTAAGTTACTGGAATTAAGACTTATTCTATGCATCTGCTCTCCCACAACATGGCGCTGGGAGAGAAGTAAACAGCTTCCGCACAGCTGCCTCCAGTTCAACCAATAAACTGTAGGACTTGCTCCTGATTGGAGAGCAGCGTACTCGGCGTGTGGGCAGCCGAGTTGGGATTGGCAGAGGAGGACTATAAAGGAGGAGAGAGACGGCATGCACCAGGGAACATCTAAGAGGAACATCTAAGGGGAACATCTAGCTGAAGGAACACCTGTGCAGCCCCCGAGAAGAGCCGGCCGGCGGTGTGCCACTCCCCTGCGGAAGTGGGGAATGTGGCCAGGGGGAACTGCCCTTCCACGGAGGTGGAAGGGACAGTAGCCAACCCGGGAAGAACCAGCAGCAAACCCGGGGAGGGCCGAGCAGACGAAAGAACAGCGCAGGGTCCTGTGTCGTTCCTCCACGAAGAGGGGGAGCGACACAGTGTGTTTTATTGATTTACATAAATATCAGTCTTCATTGTCAATGTTGTTAAGACACATCCCAGAACAAGTGACATTCCAGCAGGGAACTTTGTAGAGGATGAGCATGAAGAATGAAGTGTTGACTGCTCTCAAGTATTCCTGGGCAGCAGATATCCAATCACAAAGCAGAAGGAAAACTTGTTCCTGTTTCAGGGGATTTAGAATGATTCCTAGTTCCATGTCATTCTCAGTGGGAACACTAACCATACTGATGAGGAAGGAACCCTCAGGCAAATAATGGGAGAACTGAGAAATCCAGAAGTGCAAATATTTGAATTGGTAGAGATGAAAAGCCTAATTTTTCTTAATTGGGAGAGAATAAATTTCAAATCAGTCAATATCAAATCAACATTACTCAAATAATTAAGTTCCCGAAATCAAGCTTCTGTTAATTTGTTATCAATCGCACATATCATCTACATGAAATTATAAATCACTTCGTTGTCAGATATTGTGTTCTTTTTAACACTGGCATGCATGTAAACTCTAGGTCACATTTTCAATTTTCCTCTCTAAAGCAGAGGACCTAAGTCCATTCTTCATTTTGTGCCTATTCTTTCTTCCCTTTCGCAAAGCCAATTTTCAGAAAAGAGAGAGGCTGGTACAAATGGATATATAGCACATCTTTTAAATGTTTCTCAGTTTGCCTTTAATTCTTCATAAACCCTAGAACTCATACCTCTGTAAATATAAGTATTAAAACCGTGTTGGAGCGTGAGGGGGGCTGTTTCTGTTTTTATCAAACTAGCATAGATGGAGCATCTTCTGTGAGCTAGCTTGATATACTGCCTTGGCATTTTATACTTCATTTATTTATTTCCTTCTCTAAACATGAAAACTGGCATGTTTCCACAGTAATAATGAAATATTTGCTACTTTTCTTAGGAAAAATAATCCCTGCCCCAGTGAATGAACTCGGGTTTATTTTCTGCGTTAAATGCCTACCATCGTTTTCTTCATGAACTTATGAGATTCATATATCCAGGTGCAGTCATTTAGCTGCTGCTGAGCCCAAGAGCAGTGGTGATGCTGAGATTTTTACCTTTCATTGCACCTTTGGTGTCGGTTCATTTCTCTTCTTTCTCCATGCCCCATAGAGCTGCTCTGAGTGTAGAAAACCCTTTGAAGTCACTTGGAACTTTGTTCTCTGATGAGGCCTGAAGGACATGCAAAGGAAGAAACATGACCATGCTTGCCAATAAGGTAAAAATTCAATCAGCTTTACTAATGTTATACTATGTGTGTAAAAATGTATATCTGCCTTAAAAACAGAGCAGAGCAAATTTTAATGTTGTGAAAGCAGAATGCTTACATGCATCTAATACACTTAAATTATTTCATATAGGGAAAAACTGATCAAATAAATTTGTCTTCAGAGACCAATAAGAAGTATTTACCTGCTCCATAATGTCTAATCCAATATTTGATATATTTTTGAATTATGCATTTTAATACAGGTTTTTAAGAAAAAATACTATTAATGATTGTAATCTGATATTAAAATCAAATACAAATATATGGTTTTTTTTTATTTAAACGTTCTCCAGTGTGCCAGTAAATGAGCAGCGAGTGTGCAGTATTTCACAGTGAACAAATGAATGAAATTTACATTTTTTCACACCTCTTACAGAATCAGCCCCATATCAGACTCTCACAGATATCAGCACCTACTTGTTAACACCATTTCTCTCAAATCTGATATTCATCTTCTTGGGGAGCCTTCTCCAAGTTACTGAACTATAATAATTGTAATCTCTTCCCTATGATTAGCCAGTCTTAAGAATTTTAGTTGTTATCTGTAATCATTATTTTTTGATAATTTAGTTAAAATAGTTTTATAGAAAATTCTCTCATGTTGAAATGTTTGATTCAGTTCCTGATTTCTGACTCAACTCAGAATGGAGCACATATGGCTTTCATCATGGTGATTTGGGTTTTTTTATAAAGGTGACCACATATTTGGGTCAAAAGGACACTTTGAGAGCAACCAGCTGGTCCAGGCAAAGCAGAAAATATGGTTATAGTAGATATGAGAAACAATAACTAAAATTCTAGATCACAGTGCTTATCTTAACATAATCAAACATTCAAACTCTTCTTCACGTTGAGTTTATATACATGGAAATTGAGAATTACTGCCTTTGTTTACTTATTTGCTTGCTTCTTATGTTGCTAGTCAAATGGTAATATTGTGAACTAAACTCTTAACTTGATTGTAAATATGGTTATTAATGTTTCAACAATTGTTGAGACATTGCAGGTCCTTCTAGATCTGATTTTACCTCTCCTCTGCTTCCAACCAATGACTGCCCAATTATATGACAGAAAATCCAGATTTAGATATTAGTTTCTCTGTGAAGCTTCAGAGTGGGTGAGGTGCTTCCTGAATGATACTCCTCTTATTCTTACTAATTTATTAGTAACACATCATCAAAAATAGCATTATAATTACTTGCTTATTTATCTGTATCTTCTATTAAGTTACAAATTCTATGAAATCAGATAATGTTGTTTTCACACATTGTCTAGCACATAGGGTAATCTGAAAGCATATATTTAATTTCTACTGTATTCAGATAAAATAATAAAGGTAGCACCAGAATTATCTCCCATGGTACAGAGTTGGCACTTTAGTTTTTTTTTTTTTTTTTTTTTTTGGATAGATTGTACCAACCCCATAAGCTAGAACCTAGGTAACTGGGGAGGTAATATCCTCTAGTTTAACGGTAAGGCAAGGGTCTGACTCTCATACAAGCAGCAGACAACACACCCACAGCAGCAAGTAGCTCTGTGTGTCTCGTACCCAGGGTAGATCCATCCTGAATTCTGATAAATGTTTGATTGTCACTGTTAATATTAGCTGTTTTCATCACTTCATTCTGTCTCTGTGGGAATTTTATGAACAAGTTTACAGAGACTGAGGATCAAAATGAAATAAAATGCTGTCCTTTCAGCCATTTTTCTTATTGTTTTAATTATCTCATTCCCAATATGTGAGGGAAGATATTCTCATTTATCAAAACTTCTATAATATTTGAAATGAAATAGCTTGATTTGTAATTCTTTAAGAACATAGTTTTTTTCATCTGCTAAATTCACACCCTCAAAAACATCATCAAATGATAGTAACTATTCAAAATATTTTCAAAGATCAGAATATAAATACTAAATGGAAATATTTTAGTCAATTTGTCATTTTATTTTTTTTTTTGAAGATTTATTCATTTATTTGAAAGGCAGAGTGACAGAGAGGGAGAGAAGGGAGAGAGGGAGAGGCAGGGAGTGAGGAGGTGTGTGTGAGAGAGAGAGAGAGATCTTCTATACACTGGTTCACTCCCTAAATGGCTGCAATGGCTGGGATGGGGCCAGGCTGGGGCCAGGCACCCAGAACTCCACCAGGGTCTCCCATGTAGGTGGCAGGGATCCAGTTGCTTTTTTTTTTTTTTTTTTTTTTTTTTTTTGACAGGCAGAGTGGACAGTGAGAGAGAGAGACAGAGAGAAAGGTCTTCCTTTTGCCATTGGTTCACCCTCCAATGGCCGCCGCGGCTGGCGCGCTGTGGCCGGCGCACTGCGCTGATCCCAAGCCAGGAGCCAGGTGCTTTTCCTGGTCTCCCATGGGGTGCAGGGCCCAATCACTTGGGCCATCCTCCACTGCACTCCCTGGCCACAGCAGAGAGCTGGCCTGAAAGAGGGGCAACCGGGACAGAATCCGGCGCCCTGACCGGGACTAGAACCCTGTGTGCTGGCGTCACAGGTGGAGGATTAGCCTATTGAGCTGCGGCGCCAGCTGGATCCAGTTACTTTAGTCTTCTGCCGCTCTTCCAGATGCATTAGCAAAAGCTGTATTGGAAGCTGAGCAATTGGTACTCAAACTGGCCCTATAATATGAGATGCCAGTACTATATGCTATAGCTTAAGCAGACTTGTAACCATAATGCCGGCCCCAATGTATCACTTTTTAAATAAAAATCAGAGCACTGTGCCCCCTAACAATGGGAAGGTAGTACATATTAATGAAAATTCTTTTAAAATAGAAGAAAAAAAACATCAAAGACATCAAAAACATTGAAAAATAAATTAGGAACTAAGCATTAGAAAGAAATGCATTTCCCATAACTTTGGGGGAGGGGAATTGAACTAGACTTTAATCTTTCAGCTGAGCAGCAATATCTGCTCAAATGATAAATTTTCTCAATTTCCTTTATTTAGTATTAGGAGCAATCATGAGGATATATTTCTGTGTTAACAGCAATTGAGGAAATACTTCAGGGGATTCCAAGATGGCTGAATAGGGAAAAGATGTGCTAATTATGATCAGGGGAAGTTAACAGAAGAACAGCAGAGGAAGTTAATTCCCAGGGGACAGTTGGAGAGGAGTTTTAAGTGGAAATTCTACAGAAAGAAGAGATTCCGTGGAGCAGCATAGACAGTACAAACACACAGCAGTGAGTGGGACACCACTGGCGACTCCAACACCTGGGGGCTGGAGGAGATGCCAGCTGCTGAGAGCGAGGAGAGAGCAGACTGCAGCAACCCATATCAGTGGTGACTTTGCCTCAGTGAGAACCTTGCAGACCACACTGACTTTGAGTCTGGACTGCAGCCTTAGTGGCAGGCAGGGTACCAACCTTACCCATGAAGGAAGAGCACATTTCTTTCTCCCGAGCCTCCCACAAGGGCACCCGGCAACCAGCAGGGAGAAAGCATCATCTTAACAACTGTAGAGGCTGTGACGACTCTCTCACAGCTAACCAGGGGATTTTATCAGAGGGAAAAATCCATGCTCCTCACTGATGTTGAGTCTGGCTTGATGGATTGGCAAGGGAGTGGGCACGCATGTAGGACTGTGAGGTGCTCCCATACCCCCACCCTATCATAGGCTCTGGAGACCAAACTTTCAAGGCTTTGGGGACCAAAAAACACAAGGTGGAGGACCCATAGGCAGCTGGCTCTGGGATCGCCTATGCTCTCTCCATGGACAGGGCAGGCTCACAGGGCGGAGTGAATCCTCTGCTCCTTGTGACTGTGGGAGCCTTGTGCACTATATTGTGGGAATTCTGTGACTGTACAATAGGGTATGGGGCATGGCTGGGTCTCTAGGCAATCACTGTGTCTGGCTTCAGAGGCTCCAAGTTTCCTGAGTGCCTGGGATGGGTCATTCCGGAAGGTTTGCGCTCACATTTAGGACTGCACAGATCCTTTGTGTGGTTCCTTTGTATTGGTGGGGGTTGTAGCCACTGTGGGATAACTGCAGGCATTGATCAGCTTGGAAGAGAGGAGGTGAAGTTGTGATAACTCTAGCAGATGTGATCATGCCCTATTCATTGTTGACAATAGAGGAGATCTACCATACCCAGCTTGGGTGTTTACTGTGTACTCTCTCCCCACCCTTGAGCACTGACCAGGCTCATTGGCTCCCCCCTGCATTTACATCTGTATATCCACCGATGAAGCAGCCCCTCTGCTAAGCCACAGAAGCATAATTCAAAGATATAATCTATCAGAGGAGACAAAAAATGTTTCCACAATGTCAAAAAATAAACAAAGAAGTATAAGAAACAGGAACAAGGAAGACAACATGACTCCCCAAGGGAACACAATATTTAATATTAGAATGTGAAGATAAAGAGATTGATATGCCTGAAAAGGAATTCAAATGAATGATCATAAGATTGCTCAAAAACACACAGAAACAAATTTATGAGATAAAGAAAACCATGCATGATATGGATGGAAAATTTTGCCCAGAGACAGAGATATGGAAGAGAAATCATAAAGATATATTAGAAATGAAGAAACCAATATATATATCAAATAGAAAATATAGTAGAGGGGCCAGCGCTGTAGCACAGTGGGTTAAAGCCCTGGCCTGAAGCGCCGGCATCCCATATGGGTGCCAGTTCTAGTCTCGGCTGCTCCTCTTCCAAGCCAGCTCTCTGGTATGGCCTGGGAAAGCAGTAGAAGATGGCCCAGGTCCTTGGGCCCCTGCACCCACATGGGAGACCTAGAGGAAGCTCCTGGCTCCTGGCTTCAGATCAGCACAGCTCCGGCTGTTGTGGCTATCTGGGGAGTGAGCCAGCAGAAGGATGACCTCTCTGTCTCTACCTCTCTCTGTAACTCTTTCAAATAAATAAAATAAATCTTAAAAAAAAAAGAA